CATGACAGCATCCATAATTCTAGATGGCTTTCCTAATCAAGGTCCAACACCTCCACTATCTTCACCAACAAAGATCCAAATACTGTTTCCATAACCATTTTACCTCCCTATCCAAGAGGTTGCTACAGAGAAAGGTGGTGAATGAAAGGTGGAAACTTTGGTGGATTTCTTGATGGTGAATTATGAGTCAGCCACGGATATACCACTCATTCTTGGATGAAGTTAGTAGGCTGCTATTCATGTTCAGACAGATTCACACAAAGGATTGTTCTTCATATTCACTTTGCTACCTTTTCCAACAAGCAAAGCGCCCTCTCGCCATCCCCAGCCATCTCTTCAGTTGCAGCAGCTTAGAGCATCCCTAAAGTTGATGCTTTCCAATCATCTTTCTAGAGCTGATTGACAATGACTCTTTGCCGGGGATCCATGTCCTAAATTGCGCTTTTATCATGAAATATCCTTCTGTGGAGCTCAACCATTTACTCTACAGCATGTAAACTCTCTGGGATGCAAGCACTCCTTTCCAACTAACACCACTCAGTTATGAAGACCTCTCGATAAATGCCTCACATTTGGCTGGGGAAGCCTTTCTTGGCTGTTTTGGAGGTACTAATAGTGGATCCAGACTTACTCCCACAAGAAGTAGAGCAGCTTGATGAGCAAGATTTCCACTCCCCAACACAGAAAGGCTAGATTCTAGAGGTCATGGAGAACAACAAAATGGAGCCTCTGGCTGAATCTACCTTTCCCACTAGAACTTGTCTGGAGACTCGAGCCTCTTTATTTGAGGTTGGACCCAATGCTGTCTAGGATCCTCACTTTTCATGCATTGGACATTCTGAGCATAACTACAACTTGGTGGCATTTGGAGCTATGGCTGAGAATTCTTTTGTGGCAACTTTTCACTTATATTTTAGGTGAAATATCCACCCCACTATCTGTTCTTTCCTACTAACTCATTTGTAGGATTTCTCCATGTGATGCCCAACATGGGCAACTTCTTCTCCCATGTTATTGGCACTAGAGCTTCATGGTGATCTCCAGGAGACTTCTACAGAGATTTTCCATCTACTAGCAGAGCCTTTTGACGTATTGCATGTAAGGTTTCTGTCTGCAAAGGCAAATACTTTGCAAAAAGCAAAAAAAGCTGGCATTTGCGTGGCATCAGTCATTTCTTCTTGCTTCAACATGGAACAATATGTCCCTTCAGCCATCTCTAGGCCCTGCTCTATCATATTCGCAGCAGCAAATGGAGCCATGTTTTAGCAATTCATCATGACTACAGCAGCTTTCTAGGCACAACCTTACCACGTCCCCACACAGCAGGCTTACAGCCGCAGTGTGATCTCTTCAATTGTGAGTATGCCACATATTTTTTGTTGATATCACCACTTTATGCAACCACCAGATTTTGGTGAGCGACTCTTCTACTTTTCCACAATATCTTTTTCAACATCCAGAAGTCTTATACCACAACCACATAGCAATGGCACACTTTCCTTTTGCAGGCATCTGCATCGCCTTGGTTCATCTAGCTAGTTTCAGAGCTTCTACACCCACATGAAGAAGTCTTCTTCACAGCTCTAGCAAGCATGGACTTGCTTTACCCTGTTCTCTTCCAGTAATGACTTCTTTCTCATTTGCTTTCTTCTTTTTTTTTTCTTTTCATTTTCTTTGGTTTTTTTCCTTTGTTCTTTGAAGAGGTAGTTCCTTGCTTGGATTCTAGACTTGGAACTACATTACTACGACAAGCTTTGTAATTTTTTGTTATGCTCAAAATTTCCCATCCTACATTCCTCCACTTTTACACCTTTCACAATTACCACCTTTCACTTTCTACCATATTCCACATTTAGCTTGAAATTTCTTCTCAACAACCAGGTAAAGATTCATTATAGTATCCTATATGTCACCTCCACAATCCAGGTCAAGTTTTTTACCAGTTTTCAGATTTAGCAACAACTCTTTACGGCACAGCAGTTACCTCTTCTACTCACAATGTAGCTGAGTCCTATTTCAACTATAGGAGCTCTTGATCACGGCATCCAGGTCTTTCTTTGGAGCAGCCTCTTACCCTACATCCACTTCTCTTAACCAGCCGTAGTGTTTTTGCAAAGGCACCAGTTTTCCTATGTACTGTTGCAATCATGCTAGCATTTCTATAAGTAAGCTAGGAGGCATCCTCTCTACAGGCATGGCTGATATGCACTTTTTCCACCTCTAATCCACCTTCACACTTTCATTTGGGCAACACTTGCCCTTTCTTCTTTTCATCTTCACTCCAAACTTTGAGCAGATTCAAGGTCTAGAGGTACTTGTGGCGTAACTTGTGGTGCAACATTATATGTATGTATCAAACGCAATTATATTATACAATACTTCTTTAATCGAATGCTCCACTGCAATGGCGGCATTGTATAATAAAATGTATACAATGCCATTGCAGTGGAGCATTCGATTAAAGAAGTATTTCCTCCATGGGATCCGGCCAACGATCTTGTAAAGCAGCAGCAGCGCCGTGCCGTCGCGGATCGCCGCTACCGCCAGGAGATTCATAAGCGCCATGGCGGTGGCCAGCTCCGCGCGATTGACGCGAAGGTCGTCCACATCGATCGAGAAGAGGGCCGCGACGATGACAAGATTGACGGGGAATATCACGAGCCACCACACGTTGTAGAGAGTGAATCCAAACCTTCTTCCCCATCCAGCTCCCAGACGAGCGTGCTGCTTCTTCTCCACGATCGCATTGAGCCGCTTCTCGATCTGGGGCGTCGTGGATTCCTCATGGAGTTCTTGGGCGGCAAACTCCATGATTCTCTCGATGGCAGTGGCAGAGCAGCAAAGCACCATATAATGCTGGAGACGCCATACCCGCTCTCCGATTCTCCCTCTCTCAATTCCATCTTGCATTTGTCATTGGAACTTTTCGTTGGACTCTAATTTTTTATATCTTTCCGAGACTTTAGATAAAGACACAGAAGAAGTTGGAATACAACACTCCCAAGATTTTTTTAATCGCGCACAGCACTCTCTCCCACACATTAGGGCTCTTCCGCGACAATATTTAGGGTTCTTCGCAGTTTCCTCCAAATGAGCTCCTTTTCTCTGGCGCAGCACCGGCGGCTGCTCCTGCTGCTACTGCGGCCGCGATCAGCGCGGGGTGTGAGCAGCTCCTGCGCTCGATTGGCCGATGACGATGAAAAGAAGGTCTCGTCGAGGCTGTTCCAGCGGCAGCAAGTGATGAATGCGAGGGAAGAGGACGCGTTGGAAGAGGCTACGGGGCCACCTCCAAAGGTTACAATGGGTGAGCGTGTTTCTCTTTTTTTTTTAAAGCATTTTTCCTTGTGTATGGTTTCTTACTCTCGCTTTGCTTCCTCTCTTCTTTTTTTTTTCTTTTCCTTTTGCGCTTGAAAGATCATGTTACGATGAGCTTCGCCAGGAGCAGCGGTGCTGGAGGCCAAAACGTGAACAAAGGTACGTGGTTTGCCAGTTTCATTGATCCTTCCCTCGTACCAAATTTTCCTGTGGCAGTGAACACCAAGGTGGACATGCGTTTCAAGGTCATGGCTGCTCAGTGGCTGCCCCTCAGAGCCAGGCTCAAGCTGCTTCAAACGGTCGGTCATGTTTAGAAAGAAGTGAGAGAGCTGTGCTCGTTTCGGCGAAACGCTTGCGAACTCATCGTTTTTGTAGGAAAGGAACAGGATCAACAATGAGGGGGAGCTTGTTGTGACATCGACAAAGAACAGGACGCAAAAGTACGTAGTGCTTGCGTTTTTCTGACAGAGTTTCACGACGGATAATTGGCAGGGGAAACATAGAAGACGCGCTTGAAAAAATACAGGTAAGTAATTGATAAAGAAAAGGTTGTGAAGCTTAGCCATTTTTTCCAACTCTCGCAGGAGATAATTGATGAAGCATGCTATGTGCCGCCGCCTCCTTCGGAAGAGACGAAAAATCGCGTCATCAAGTTGTATGTAGTGCTGGCGATTCCTTCGTAATCCATTGTAAAGGACTGACCGCTGGTCTCTTGTGGATTCCAGAGCTGCTGCTGAAGATCAGAAAAGGCTTCAGATAAAAAAACAAATTGCCAACAAGAAATCGTCACGGAGGGAACGTTTCTAGATCGAGGTACAAACCAGTAGAGAGACAGATAGAGAGCGTGTGTAATTACGGTATGTAGAACAAAAGTCTTTTTTCTACAGAACGTGCAAGCTTCACTAAAAATCTATGGTACTCTCAGCAATCAGTCCCTTCCGTGGATACATTCAACAACGGGGTAAAAGCTCTTAGCTCCACTCGCAGCTATCAATGTCTTGCTTATTCCAAGGGAAAGTTTCGAGTTCGATGTGCTAATATGGACTCCGGACAGTGCCGCCAGATCCCACATCTGGGTGTCTCTCCGGATGGAGCTCTTCATGAAGGTGGGCATTGTGATTTCTCATTGTCTGTATACCCCACTAAACTGTTTCACTTGAAGATAGAAATGCAGGTAAATAATCGATGAGAGGTTTTGAAGCTAGCCAACTTTGTTCACTTTGCAGGAGATAATTGAAGAAGCATTTCTATGTTTCATAAAGGCCATTGCCGTGGTGCTGTTTGGCACTGCAGAAGGTCTGGAATTGTTAACAGTCAAATTGAGGTATGCGATACAAGAGTGATTACTGCTGTCTCTGGAGTGTTGCATTGGGGAATAATTGTTCGTGCATTTTGTTTCCTTATACATTCCATACTTTTAGTGGTTGTTCATATTTCGATTTCGTTACACCTTGTGTGCACAGACTTGAAATACACAGGAACGCAAACTGGCGCAGTAATCCATGCCCTCTCTCCATTTGGCGGTCTTGTCAAAGAACAAAGTGGCCTCTAACTGGCTGTGGCAAGGATGAGTTTTAGTGCTATACAAATTTCTAGCGGCTTCTTCACGCAAGACAACAAGATCAAGTATTTTCACTCCGATAGACGCTCCAAGGCTCTGAATGTGGGCTCTTTCACCCAATTCTCAGCAGGTAGCTCTATTTTCTTGTGTGGCTTTTGTCGTCACAAGCTTGTTATTGTTTCAGGCCTTGTGCTGAGAGCTGGACGAGAAGTTCATGGTACTCTCAGCATTCAGTCCCATCTGTCAAGCAAAGAGGTGCCCAGGCTTTTCTTCCTCTGATCTGCTAGAGGTTTTTCCTTGATTGCAGAGCACTATCAAGAAGCTGTTTGCTGGCGTGAACGATGCTTCCGGCTTCTCAGCTTACGACATGGGATGGATTGCTCGAATACCTCATGCTCATAACCCAGAACTTGGGCCCCAGTTTCCTCGGAGCTTGGAATGGATCGTTCACAACCAGTGCGAGGATGGGTCCTGGGATCAAGGAGAAGAAGATGTTCAACGGGTTTGCAGCACACTATCGTGTGTCACTGCTCTGAAAACATGGAACCGAGGGGAGTGTAGCGTCCAAAGAGGTAAGCTCTTTCCTTTCTGGCATCCGTGAGAAAGAGAAACAGCGTTCTTCGTGCAGGTGTAAGCTTTTTAATGTCTCGGCTGCCACTAGTTCACAATAAACTTACAAAAGACATGAAAGCCATCTTGCATAGATTATTACAAGAGGGCAAGGCACTGGATTTGGAGCTGAATTATGACGAATCTTTTGTTCAATATATTCGAGAACAGGGTCAGGAATTTCTTCAGAGGTACTCTTGAGGTTCTTAAACAACAGTAACTTTTGTCATGATAATCAGGGTATCAAATGACGCGTTGGACCAGTATCCGACCTCTTTCGTGCATATGCTTGAAGCGTTTCATGACCGTCCAAAGTGGCAACATCTTCTCAGATATCAAAGTAGCAGTGGATCTTTATTCTCTGTCACACTGACGGCGTGCGCGTACATGCACACCGGAGACAGAAAGTGCCTTCGTTTCCTAAACGGTCTTCTTGAGGGCCCATTGACCAAACCAAACAAGAACTTGAGTCAGCTGCTGCGACTTGTAGACTGGCTTGAGCATCTGGGAATCGAAAGGTTCTTTGAGAAAGACATCGAGCAAACATTGATTCAAGCTTTCAGGTAAACTTCTTGTCACTCGGAATGTTTAGCAACTTGTGAACAGATTTTGGAGGGGAAATGCCGCAGGTAGCGGAAGTCAACAACATCTAAAAAGCTTTGAAGATTCTGCTCTTTTGTTCCGGATTCTTCGTCGTCATGGCTACGAAGTCTCCCCAGGTAGAGTGAAGTGAAGATTTTTATATCATAGTCTCAGTAAAACAAGGATTTTCATGTGGCAGACGTGCTACATCAACGAACATTCTGCGAGACACGCGATTTAAAGGAGCTGTCTTTGGCATCACATTTTCTCTTTCCTAGTGAAAGCAGAAAGATGCTAGACTCGACTCCAATCATTGATGTCGCGAACCAAGAGGTTTGCCTTCACTACAGTCCGATGTGTTCTTTCGCAAATGTTTTCTTCACAGACGACGTTTCCATGGTATAGTATACCGCATCGGGTCCAGCACATTGAGTACATGACTAAATTTATGACAAGTATGGATTCCATAAGCATGAGGTATGCGACAGCTTCCCGTAAATTAGAAGAGGTTCCTAAAATTTCTATTCGAAATTTTCCAGTGAACGTGCTTCGTTACTGGCCTTCACAAAGTTCGACTTCAATGCTTGCCAGAAGATCTATCGGTCGGATTTGCAGCGCGTTATGAGGTAGCTGTGTTCGATGTTTTTGCTTCTTTGCTATATAGCTTTTGAAACGCAGGTGGAACGAAGAGTGCGACTTCGGACGTCTGGGTTTTGCCCGACAGAAAGAAGTGTTATGTTTTTTTACCGCCGCTGCAACCATGTTCCAGCCGGAACTCTCGATGGCTCGCATTGTCTGGGCACAGATGAGTGTTCTTGCGACAGTCATTGACGACTTTATGGACACGCACGATTCTCTCGACAATTTGAGGAACTTTTGCACTGCCGTGAAAAGGTACTACACATCTAAAGACTTTTCAGTATGTATAGTTTTTGTATCTTGTGCTATCACACAGATGGGATCCGTCCGCCTTGGAGCTGAACGAAGCCGCTAGGATTATTTTTCAGGGATTGTTTAAGACGGTTACATGGACAGCCGAGTGTGCTTCCGCCGTACAAGGCAGAGATATGACGGCTAACTTACGAGCTCAAGTAGGTATCTCTTGGCACCTCTAGAACACAGCCTTTCTAATTGGTTTTATCAGTGGGAAAGACTTTGCGATGCGTTTTTTCGCGAGGCAGAATGGAGGTTGACGAATCACTGTCCCAGCCTCGAGGAGTACATGGAAAACGGAATCACGTCCTTCGCGCTGGAACCCATCATCTTATCTGCAATCCTTTTCCTGGACGAGAAAGTTGAGTCGTCGGTTCTCGACCATCCGGACTGCATCAACATGTACGTGAGGGTCTCAACGATTGGGAGGCTGCTCAACGACATCCAAGGCTTTCACGTAAGCTTTCATCTTCTTATTTTTGGATGTTTACCCGAGATCTTTCCCATTCCAGCGCGAGAGCAGCGGGGGGGAATTCTCGTGGATTGCGATCTACATGAAGGAACACCCGGGAACGAGTGTGGAGGACGCTGTGGTGGAGATAAGAAAGATTCTGAATGCGACGATGGAGGAGCTGGTTGAGGACGTGCTCCGGCCCAGAGCAGTGCCCAAGAGATGCAAGCGCGTGTTTGAGAACATGATGAGAATTCTCAACTTTGTCTACCACAAGGGCGATGGATTCAGCACGGACGAGCTACGGGGCCACGTCAAGCAAGTTCTTCACGTGAAACTGGAATAATCTTTAACTGGCTGGACTAAGTAGAAACAATCATTTAAAGATGTTAGAAATAATGTTTAAACTGTGCAATTATTTGGCAAATCCATGTTGAATCTGTGAGGTTGGGAGGAAGGCAAGGTTGCCCATCCATGGTGATTCCACCACGTATGGTGACGTATGGTGATGGGACGTAGGGAGTAGCGTCTTGACATCTGTGGCTCCCGGCGGGGGGGGGGAGAGTCGCATCCCCCAGCCTTCACACTGAAGTACCATATTGTGAGATGCTCTCCTGAACACTAGCTAACGACGGGACGGAACAAAGGTAAGTCTAACAGCTGAAGTGCCGTCTCGTACTTGTGAGACGAGCCTTTGGCAAAATGCTCAGTATGTTCAGCTTGGCTTGCGATAACTTGGCCCTGGGCACACTCCCCACTCTGGTATCTCCCTGTGGAGGGGGACCAGTTTGTCAAGCTCCTTAGACTGACCACATGTCACTCAATGACACATGGATGCGACATGGCTACTTTAACTTCCCAATGGTTCGGCTACTTCCTTACGTGGTGGAGCACTGAGTTGGGACCATTATCCACTTCCTAGCCAGACTAGAGATTAGCCTTGATTTGACATACTAAGTGTTGAGCACCCAGCTCCATAAAGTGGCGCCTTGGCAGCTGTGGCCAAGGCTCACCCTCACACTTGCACTCGCCTGTGAATCCACTTAAGTGGTTGCCCATTTAGCCTTCTTTCACGTTGGGTCAGGATGACACCCAACCTACCTCACACTGTGAAGACTAAGTGGCCAGCCCAAGGCTGGGCAAACGCATCACATTGATTAGCCCAAGAGTCCTATGCAGGCAAAGACATTATTACACACTTAATGGGACTAACTGGTTGCCAACACCTAAGTGTAGAGGCTCCCTCTTGGGAAGGTGGACTTACCATGCCAACAAGCCTCAAACTTTCTTGTCTTGCCTTGGCATTTGGCATTCAACCTAGAGCTCCATCCCTAGCTTGGAAGAATCACGATGCTCCAAATCTAGGCAAGATTTGGACACGTGTATGTAACAATATGTACAATCTCATTTTGCTTATCATTCAATTCTATATATAATATAATAATTTGGTAGTCAAATCTTGAACCTGAATCATAATCAGTCCAGACAAAAACATGTGAAACCTGTTTAAGTGGTTTATCATGTTAAAATTATATGTTTAAATAAAGCTATATTTTCTTTTGTGTAAACCATTTAGACAAAATAAACACAAATTCTCATCAATTCGATCATAAAAAATCATATAGTAGAACTATAAAATCTATAATATTACAAAAGGATATTTTATAATAATAGAAATGATTTTTTTTCATAGATTATCTTAATGCAAATTGAGGTAGAATGTTAGACCTAATGAATATGCAAGGATGTAAGTTCTATTGGGAAAATAGATATAATACTTTATAAGATCTATAAATATATATACATATATACATGTATTACCATTTTGGGTAATATGCTAAGTATAGTAGTATAGTATATGGACATTCTCCAAGGGTCAATTAACATATTTATTCCCATATCCTTCCAATGTCATGCTATCATCAATTAAGTATCATCTAACATTATTTATATAGTTTTATCCTCTTTAAATTGACTTTCCCCCCTCTTTTCTCCTCTTTCCTTTCCTTTCATTTCCTCTCCTCTCCTCCTTCCTCTGAGATATGATTACATGACTTTTTCTATTCTTAGTGTTTTACCATATTTTGTTGATATAGAGTATGATCATAATATCATTTGGAGAATTATAAATGATCTAGTCTAGTTCTTGGAGGGTGTTCAAAAAATTGGGAAGACAATATTTACAAACTTGAATGAATTTTTACTAACAAGGAATTTGATTGTTTTAGAGATAGGTATGAAAAGAAATTCTCAACCTTTTCTTATTTTTCAGCCTTTGATATCTTCTGAAATTTTTAGTGTTTTTTCCTCATTTACAACATTTCCTTTTCTTGGCACATTGATTATTTGTGATTTTTATAATTTTTATTCTTAATCCAATATTGAGTTGAGTGTTTTCCATCTTCCTTGTATTAATTTAGATGTTGAGTACGTGTGTGAAGCATTCTTCCTCAATTTTTCTTACTTTTTCCTCTTTATCTTAACACTTCAAACTTTTTTTTTTCTTTAGAGGGGGTATAGGGGACAGATAAGAGTCTTGCCTCGATGATGGAGTAAGGAAGTGGAGTGAGGACAAATGAATGATTTATGGGATGAGCATATTGAGTTTGAATGCAACATCTAACCTCGACATAGTGAAGCCAACAAATATGATAGTGAAGTAAAGTTAAATATACAAAATGAGACATAAAATGATTAAATTTTCTATTCTACTTTAGTCATTTAATCACACCTTTGACTATTTGGAGGAGTTTAACTCATAACCTCCATAAGTCCTATTTTCAACTTAGGGACATATTAGCCCTCTAAATGACATTCACACCATTTAGTCTTTGCATTTAGTCCAAGTGCTCCATATGTCCAATCCTATAATAAACATCCCAAAGGTACTATTGACATCTCAGCCTGTTATACTAAAGCCATATCCATTTACCCTTGTCTCATTGGTAGTCCAAAACCACCTATACTATAGTCCTATCTTTAAAAAACTAAACCATCTATCCATGAGTGGTCATCCTATGACCACATTTTAGCATCTTTAGGATGCTTGGAGATATAGGGAACATCTTTCCCCAATGTCTCTTCTTTAATCCCCACCAAGTCCCTCTTTATCTATGGTTATGCTTGTTAACACTGATATTGGGTTATAGCCTGAAGGCCCAACTGCTAAATCTTACTAACATCTGAGACTTTCTCACCATGTGACTGTATCCTTAATTAAACTACATAAAAAGACTATTCCTCTTTCTTTCCATAATCCAAGACTTTAAGACAACATTTTGAAACATTGTAGCATTATATGAGCTTTGTGGGTACTCTCCCCACCTTATGTCCTTAAGTGCTCTAGCCATGTTGTTAGAGCGAAGTTCCAATAAGCCAAACCAAGTATCCAAGTAGGTAATGCCACACATATTTGGATTGGGATCATTGACTATTTGATTTCCTAGGGGAGCTATAGCCGGCTCTTGAGCACTTCACCAAACTATCCTATTGGGCTGTTTATGTTCACTTTAGCCTTGGATTTCTTGATGGTTATTGTAAGCAATTAAAAAGAACGACTCGAGAGACAATCCATAAGGGTTCACATATATAGAGAAAGGGCCCATGAACAAAAGTGCACCCCTTTTTCCAATCGGTTAAAGGTCTTGGGATAGTTGGGGTTAAGCGTCCTTGGGTTTGAATAGTACTAGGTTGGGTGACCTCCTGGGAAGTCCAAACTTAGAAACTTACATTTGGTATCAGAGAGGTCAAATTGACATCTGGCAGGGAAGCTTACATTTGGTATCAGAGAGGTCAAATTGACATCTGGCAGGTTCAGTTTGCTCAGTTGGGGTAGGGTGTTAAGAGAGTGAGGCTCTCAGGAGAGCTACGGCTCTTAGTTTCCATTCACGAGGGCGTGAACTTGCAGGGAAGCGTGATGGATTGTAAACAATCAAAGGGAACGACTCGAGAGACAATCCATAAGGGTTCACATATAGAGGGAAAGGGCCCATGAACAAGAGTGCACTCCCTTTTCCAATCGGTTAAGGGTTTTGGGATAATCGGTTTTGGGTTTTGGGTTCTGGGTGACCTCCCGGGAAGTCCAAATTTAGGAGCTTACAATTATATCATTACTTATCATGTGGGTATAACTTTCCTGGCTTTTTTTGGCCAAATTGGTTCTATTGGAGTCTTGCCCTTACTATCTTTTTAAAGCTCACCAAACCTCTAGGGTTTAGAAGATGATCATTTTGGGCTTTCATCCTTAGACTTGAACTTGGACTTAGACCCAGACTCGAACTCAATCTCAGACTCGGACTTGGTCTTAGACTTGGTTTTGGTTCTGATCTCGGTCCTGGTCTCAATCCCTATCTTGGACTCCATCTTAAACTCTTTTTTAAACTCCATCTTGGACTCTTTCTTGGACTTCATCTCAGACTCCTTCTTGGATTCCATTTCAGACTTTTTCTTGGACTCTTTTTTGGACTCCTTCTCAAATTCTATCTCAGACTTGATTCTAACACTTCCATGTGTCATGACACTTATCATGTGTCAATCCTTCTTGTGTCCCTTTCTAAAGATTCATTTGCCAATCATTTTTTCCTCATTCCTTAATCACATCATTTGGAGTTTCACTCTTGCTCTCACCCTTTTGGGTTGGAACTTTTAGTCCCAATGTGTTATATTTGTTAGACTTTCATTTCAACCACTACCATATAGTACACTTTCGGCTCCATTTTTGGGCTTAAGGATTTGTATTTTATATAAGGATGAATATAACAAGTCTACATAGAACCTTTTTATATATGTTTATTTGGAACATACTATTAGGTTTTTGGGAGCAAATGGAAGTATGTAGGATGCTTCTTGATAATATAAAAAGATTTTGTTATATTATAATCGATACATTTTTATATATAACACACTATATGTAAATGTTGCAAAAATTGGTATGTATGCTTGTCATATAAAGTCCATGCAAAACTATTGTCACGTAAAATCCACTCTATATACCACCTCCCATTCAACACTTGCCAAAGAGAGGCGACTATACCTCAGCTTATACGTAAATTGTTCCAGGTCATAGTAATGGTCCTCAACCTTTATGTTGGAGGAGTAAGTCATTGCTTTAGGAAGGCATGGCTCTGCATGCATCTACCAGTTGTGGTACTTGCCCATACTTGCAATGAAAGACCTGGATACAAACCCACTACTTGGTGCCAAGGAACTCCATGCCCATTGTGAAATGATGAAGCCTGTGCAACTCTAGGGTAGTATCACCATCACTACAGCCTTGAAGAATGCCCTCACATGCCATGACCTCTGAAATGCAAACACATAACCACTCCTCACTAGTAAAACACTCATCTCCACACTGAAAATCTGAGAGAGATTTATAAGAGGTCCAGCGAGTTTAAAACATATGTTAAAGTGTGAAGTCAAATATCTCTTCTATAGTG